ACACACACAGACACACACACACACACAATCTCACTCACTCACTCACTCACTCACTCACTCACTCACACAAACAAACAAAAAAACAAACAAACAAACAAACAAACAAACAAACAAACACAGACACACACACACACACCCGCACGCGCACGCGCGCGCACACTCATGTTTGCACAAACACGCGACAGGCTCCTTGGAGTGGACCTTGCAGCCAGCCCCACAGAGAATGCGGATGCCCTCCACGTTGTTCGCCGCGGCTGCCAAGTGAAGGGGCGGTTGGATGCCAGAGTCGAGCTGAGCCTTCGCAGCGACGAGCAGCCGAGTAGCCTTGCTGTGTTTGAACATGACACAAATTGCAAGGGCCGAGGCCCAGGGTTGAACTCCAGCCTGTGGCTGGTCCTTCTGGGTGACACGGTGAAGGTCAGCCCTTTGCTCCAGTAAGCTTTCGACCACAAGGGCGTCCCCTGCCAAGGCGGCATAGTGCAGGGGCGACCAACCTCGACTGTCAACGTCGCGCACGCTGGAAAAGCCATTCTCATGCAGGAAGCGAGATACTCTCAGGGAGCTGGGGTCCTTTTCCCCAAAATCCTCAAAGCCGGGTACCAGATCCCGCCAGGGCTGGACAGAGAATCCTCGAAGATGGACATGCTGCAAGTTCAGGAGCACCCGGTAGCCCTCCAAGTCCTCCTTTTGCAACAAGAGGTGGAGCTTGCGCTGCAAGGCTTGCCGCAGTACTTCTGCTAGCTGCAGCTTGTCTTCGGCCAAAGTGAAAGCACCCTCCCCAGCTGATCCCCCGATCGATGCGAAGGGCGATGCAATCAGCTCCAGTTCTGTGCGGCTTCGGATCAAAATCCAGGATGCATTTTCGGAAAGTTCACGACAAGCTCTCTCAAATCTACACCAACCGCGGTCACTCCAACTGAAGGGTGTGAACACCTTCGACTGGGTTGCGCTGTCGATGACTGGGCAAAGTGCGAAGAAGAATGCGCACCTCGAAATGTAGGCGGGGATGCTGTAGATTGCCTGGACAAGTTCACCTCGGTTTGAGTGCAAGGGCACCTAAAGCTCGATGCGAATAGGTATCTTCAGAACCATAAGCGAACATAGAAGATGGTCCCGAAGTGTCACCTAGTGACTACCTTGAGCATTCCGTAGCCCACCCTCCAGTGAGCCGATGTTTTGAAGGTCAAGCTGGGGGCAGGAAAAGTAATCATACCAGATGAAGAGGGGCTCTCCCCTGATCTCGTCCGTATTAAGGGGCTTAGCGCCGAAGACCAGCAATTCCGTGAAGAAGTCCAGACAGATGTAGGGCATCTTCGACAGCACGTGCTTCAAAGCATCCTGAAGAACTCTGAGCTGCTTGAACTCTGGGTCCGGATGCTTCTGGCCAACCCACTGGTGGGACACAAAAGCTGCTTTGCCCATGCTCTCCTCGAAATCCACCAGGAGACCTCGCTCCTTCAGCACTTCATGGGGTTCGATTTCACCCATTTCCAGGAGCCTCTCCACGGGCAGCGTGTACATCGGGAACTGCATCGGAGGCTTCGATGGACTCGCCGGGCCCTTGGCTGCCAATGACTTCGCATAGCGCTGAAGCGGGCTGCTTCGGGCCGTGCCCTTCCCACACAGGGGCATGAAGGAGCAAGCTCCCAATCTCTTGAGCTACTTTTAGAAGGCACCGCCCTGAAGCAGGAACTCAGGATCAAGACCAAACTTTGAGGACTTCAGGATGCATGTTTGAGACTATCAAAGAGTATGCGGAGCCCGCCCTAAACCCTGAAAGGAGGAGGTTCACCGTTCTTGGGCGGTGCCTTGTCGAGGTCTGTAGCCGAAAAACTTCGAAGCCCATCATCAGCGCTCAAGGGCTTTTTAGGAGGTGGGGGGGTTTAGGGTTTAGGGTGTTCTCCCAGGGTTCTTCTGCAGATCTTTGACGGCTCTTGTACGGTCCTGATAGGGAGTCCTGATGTCCTGATCGGTGCTTTGTTGCGACTTAGTGTAACCCTGTTGTGACTTACTGTAGTTCATGAGGGGTGGTAGGATTTAGGACTTAGCATTTTGGGTGCTGCAACGGGTGTTTGGGGTTCTTGGCTTTCTGGGTCTTGGCGGGGTCTTCCCTCCAACGCTCTTGGAATCTGCAAGATATTACGCACGAGCAGGAGAGGTGGGGCTTCATAGTCTCATCAAAGAGCGGGACTACATATTACAACAGAAGTTGGCTGTCATTGCTTCATGAGATGATCCTACAATCAGAAGGACAGAACATCACACTGTTCAAGAGCCATACCAACTGCAGCTAGTAAGCTAGTATGTCGTTTCATACCACTCCCGTCACCATTGGTGTTCCTAAGCTGTGTCAGGTTAGCAGCAATATTGATTAAGATTCGTTGACAATGAGTAGTTGTAGCCCCTGGCCGAGCCGTGCTCCAGAGTGTTCTCCAACATGATCTCGACCTCTTCGGCACGCCGGGGTAGGGGGGAATCCCCCAGCTCAAAACCCCAAACCCTAATAGTCTATAACACTGAACCTTGAACCCTAAACTCGAAACCCTAAACCAACCCTAAACTCGAAACACTAAATCCTAAACCCTAACCCTAAACCCTAAACCCCAAACTCAAAACACTAAATCCTAAACCCTAAACCCTAAACTCAAAACACTAAATCCTGAGCAATAAACCCTTCGATTCAGAGTCGAGACTGCAGGGTTTGGGATTCACGGAGTCGAGCCGGCCCAGAGCTACCCAGAAATCCCAGCCTTCTTCTGCTTTGGGGAATTGGGTTCAGAGTTTAGGGGTTTAGGGTTTAGGGTTTAGGACCTTTAGGGCCTTTAGGGCCTTTAGGGCCTTTGGGGCCTTTGGGGCCTTTAGGGTTGAGGAGTTTACGGTTAAGTGTTGAAGGTTTAGAGTCAGAAGTTTCATCCGGGAAAAGGAGTTGCAGCTTTGGCATCTGTTCAAGGGCTTGGACCTCTAGTGTGGAGCTAAGGGTTTAAGGGTTTAGACTGATTCAGGGTGTAGGGTTTGTGACGAGTCTTTTGGAACAAGGCTCTCTCAGCAACACTGCATAGACAAAACAAGCATGAGTAGGGTTCGCAGCTTGGGGTTTGGCCGTTGCATGATGATCATGAACAATGATGACGCGTGTGCCTGTCGACATTGCTGTTACCTCGAAACCCAGGATCAAATGCCCGTTAGCACACCGCCTTGTAGGATTGGCGGATTGCGGGCCAGAACATGCAAAACTTGCTGAAACATACTTCCGATGTCAGGGCCGAAGGTATTGCTAGATCTAACTATGGCAGCGATGACAGCCATCATAATCATCGTCACCATCGTTATCATCATCACCATCATCAACAACAACAAAAAAACAACATCATCATCATCATCATCATCACTGTCATCGTTGCCGCCGTCTTCGTCATCATCTCCAATCTCAGAATCGGCACCGCCATCAGCATGATTGTTTAAGTGTAGGCACTGCTGCTTCCGAATGACGTACTCTGACCACTTCAAGCTGCTCTGACGCCAATGACATGATTACTTGCTGCCTGCTGTGGTACCTGGAAAAGTCTTACCGACTTAACTGACTGCTTCTATTCTCCCATGTTTTTGCCCCGATAGTATATCATGTCACCACAGCACGTCTCATTCTTCTTGAAACGCAGGTGCACCACAAGAACAAAGATCGTGTGCTAACATCTTCGCATACTGAATATCGTTTAGGGTTTAGGTTTTAGGGGTTGAGGGTTTAGAGTTTTCCGCGCCTCTTCCAAAGCGCCCGGGCTGCCGACTACTTCCGCACGCCAGGGAGCCATGGAATAGCCTGGAACCCACTTACCCCGATGTGCCTCAGGGTTTAGGCTTCAGGGTTACATGTGGAGTGAGATGTCTGGTAAGTCTAGCCATCATTTCCACTCTCCCTTCGATGGTGATATCTATCTGGGAGGTTCAGATACTGCGGTCCTGATGGGAAAGGCCCTGGAAAACGACCCCTTTGCTTCAAGAAGCTCGGTCTGCTCTAGACCCACTGAATAGTGCTGAAGGGATGCCTGCTGGCTGTGCGAAGTTCAGCTGGCGAATGCCTGGCCTGCAATCGCTCCGTTCAGGCTTGCGGGCTCAGTGCCTTGGGTCTCAGGGCTTAGGGCCTCAGGACTTCAGTGCCAAAATTTTGCGGCTGTGCGGATTTGGGTATTTCAGGGCTCGAGTCGAGGATTTTGGTGTTGTTCATTCTGCAACGGTGCGGGTTTCAAGCAAGATGGGGGCCAGCACGCTTTCCCGTAGAAGCGGAGTAACACCTCTTATGCAAACTCGCACCACGATCCTGGCAAGAAGAACCGCAAGGGGGTTTAGGGCTCAGGGCTTAAGCCCTCTAGCTGTGCACTGAACTTGTTGCCGATGCACCATCCTAAACCTAAGCCCAAAACTTAACCCCTTGAAACTTGACTGCTCTTTGCGTTCCTTGTGCACTTCCCCGGTGTACTCGTGCTTGTGCTTTGTGAGTTGGGGTCGAAAAGGACGTTTGCTCAAAGTGCGGGTTTAGGGCATCAGGGGGGCTTCGGGGAGTAGGGTTTTGGGTGCAGGATGTCGGCATCGGGCTCTTACGGGCTTCAGGCTCTCGGGTGTAGGGCTTGAGGGTTGGGAATGTCGGAAGTTGGGGGGCCTCGGAGATGGGGCTCCAGCCCTCAGGGCTTACGAGTTTAGCAGATGCAGCAAACAGAACACACGAAGAAGCCTACTATTGGGGAGTGAAAACCTAGACCTAGACTGAGGCGTTGGGGGCTTGTGGGTATGGTATACGGTATACGATACTTACAGTGTACTCAGAACACAGCATTACGAATTACAACTCATTCTTCATGGCTTCGATAGCAAACCCTAAACCACAACCAAAGCCAAGCGCTTGCACAGCCTGCCTCGCCAGAATGGACTCACGCAGCGACTGGAGCAGGGCTCAGCAGGAAAACACGGCATGATTGTCTATAATATGATATTACATAATAGACTATCATATCATACAGCCCGAAAGAAAATAGTGTAATATAATATAGTATGATATGGAAAATGTATGTAACATAGAATATGATATGATAAATATGTTTTATTACTGTAAGATAAAATATAAAATGGTATAAGATAATGTAATATGAAAGCTGTCATAAAAATATAGAAAGATATAACAAAACATGATACAAGAAAATACGATATAGTATAATGTGATATAAAACAATATAATCTAGTACATAAGACACAGTATAGCAAAATATGATGTAATAACATGGTATGACATAATATGATATGATATGGTATGATATAACATAACAAATTATAAAGCAATATAAAGTACCGTAACATATTCATTAATATGACATATTCTATTCTAATCTAATCTAGTCTAATGTAGTCTAACCTAATCTAGTCTAGTATAAACGAACATAGAATGACATAGACTGTAAGATGACATAATAAGGCCCGGAGACCAGGAACCGGATAATTCTGCATTCCCATTCCTAGACCCTGAACTGCACAGGAGTTGAAACAAGTGCCAGTGGCACTGAAATCACCTTCCATAGTCCAGAGGTGGCGGTGCTGCAAATTGTACGGAACACAGAAAGCTCGTAGCTACGGAACAAGCCGTAAGAAAGCCATGATCGTCGTAATTGCAGTCCTAGCTCTTGGAGAATGCTCTGGAGCTTAGCTTCAGCTGCGAAGCGGCAACACAGGCGAGCCTCAACCAACAGCGCACTGGATGGTACGACATCAAGTAGGAGCACCTGCGAAAAAGCACTCCCAACAGCTCAAGCCATGATGTCTAACACTTGGGTACCTGAAACCTCGCATGCCTTGATCCTCCTCGAAAGACTCTACAGAGCCCCGGGACAGAAAAGCTTTTTTCAGCTTGGGAAGTACTTGTGAGGCATCGGGGCTTGGGGCTTTGGGCTGAGAGCGTGGATTTGGAAGGCATCGGTGCTTCTGATGGTTGCTTACGGTCTCGGTGATTGTGCTGGTGATGATCGTGATTCTGATGGTGATGAGGCTGGCGATGAAGCAAACTGGCGATGGCAATGGCGATTGCAATGGTGATGCTGATCGGGCTGAACAGCATCTTGCCAGTGGGCTCTCTTCTGCAATGACGCCAGACCTACTTGAAACGCGAAGCTCCCGCTGCATCCTCAGCGCCCCGCTCCCAAAAGACGGTCGCAAAGCAAAGAAACCAGGAAAAAAGACCAGCAACCGAAGGGAATCATCTGAAGTCGGTCACCACTGGAAACACCGCAAGCCCTCCCCAAATCCGCAACAGCAAGCCCCTGGTTCAGGGCTTCCCTCCGGCACCTCTTCTCCAGCTGGCATGGGCAATGCCTCCGCCACAGCCCGGATTCGGCTCAGAGACGCCGTCGGGGCCTCGTGGGGAAGGGTTTACGGTTTATCCTTGGCTGAAGGCTTGAGCAGATATGCATAGTATAATATACCCCTTGAAGACTTACTCCAATTCTGAAGGCCCCCAGGGTGCGGAATCAGCTCATTAGGTCCGTGATCCTTCATGACCCTGGATCATCCACCTCATCATGCGGGAACACCGTCATGGAGCAGGTTGTTCACGCTAGCAACACTTCTCAGACAGAAACACGAGCAACGCAACG